ATTTCTTAACAATTCCAAAAAATATTTGAAATTTTTATAATTAATTAATTTACAGTATTTTAATTAATGTAAACAATACAAAGAGGAATTTAGTAGATAAACATATTTTTTAGCTTCTTAAAATAATTAATTMAGTAGGTGTTTATTTTTAATACTTATAGAATATATACCTTATAATTTATATAATATAATATGCAGTTAAATCCATATTCGTTTGCTTTGATTACATATTTTTATCTTGTATTTGTGTAACCACTAGCATGTAGTTAGTATCAATGAACTTTAGATATAGTTGTCATACGATAACGTAAAAAATGCTTAAGATACAATATTATACTCGTACATGATATTTTTATGTAAACTATTTTGTTGTACCTATCTCGTTAAATCGATATTCACTCCTAACAAAAAATCTTATTATTATTGTTATTATTAATTATATTATTTTACTAATTTTTTTATACCTGGATGATTTTATGAGTTATTATTTTAGAATTTAATATAAAAATCAACTATGCTGTACGATTGATAGCCATATATATTTCCAATAATAATCATAGAAAATCATTTGAAATACAATATCGTATATGATAAAAATAAATAAATTTCAATATTATAACCTTAGTTAGATACACGCATTGCATATTGCGATGATAAAGGCGCAGTATAAATTAAAAATCTGTTCGAAACAAATAGCAATTATTACAAGGACAAATTTAAAGAATAAATAACATTATTTTGATTTTCGTAATCTTCAAAAACCATATATTATACACCCACACATTGTTATGATAAGTACATACATGTTTTAAACAATATTTACTCATAAACAAATTAATGTAAGATGCATATAGGCGCTGATTAAATGATACGGTTGATATAACTATATAAGCAGGAGATAAATATTCAAAACCACACGTACCTTTAGGCGGTAATGTTTCATTTAGAAGTAAAAAATGAAACACGTTATGAAACTTTCCAAGGAGGATATAATATATAATATATATGCATATATAATATATGTAGGTACTAACTACTAAGCTATATTTCAAATAATATATCTTACACACTTAACCCAACTGCATAAAATAAACAGTTACGCCGAAGACAAGTTGACTTGAAAGGGTTTGCAATGCATTATTATTRTTTATATAGTTACAGTTAGGAGCGTCAAACTAGAAGGTATTGAATGCATTGAAYATATTGTTTATTGGGTGTTGACTGATGTACTATAATACTGTGTATGAATGTATTGGATATCTTAATTTTATACATTATAAATTTATAACAAATATTTAATGTTTAAAAAAAAATCTAAATCTCTAGTCTATGCAGCAGCGTCCTTATTTTYCCTAACAATAAATATTAAATATACCTATCTAAGATTGGATTGGATTTGGAACGATAATAATGTGTAATAAGGGGGAATTACAGTGATGGTTTGTTCATGGACCTATAAATACCTAAACGTTAATAAAACAATTTTCAACCATCAACAACCCTACTCATATTTTTGCAGCATAAAAATAAAAACATAATTTATCAATATGTAGTTTTCTGATACGGTTTAGCGAGGTGCTAGTCATCATTCAGTACTTATTAAGATGAATTAGTTAAATTGACTTACATTTTGATGTCAAACTTTATTATTCAAAGAAAATTAATTTTCCAGTTTCGTGTTCCATCCTATCCTACCAGAGATCACGCTGCTCCTTACGTTCCATCCCACTTTTCTTCTTATRGTCATAATCATCCTATGCATCGTATATGCTTCGAAATTTCAATAATACGTTGTAACCGTTGCTTTCTTCTTGAGACACTTATGTATATTTATGTATCTATTTTTTTATTATCTGTGTCCATTTTAAACTACTAATTTTTGTTAATTATCATATAAGTACATAACATTGTATATAAATCTCTGTATACTCTTTCTAAATAAATTGTCCATTGGGCGTAAGTTAATTAAAATAAATAAATTAAATAAATCGATATTGTTTGATAAAACGCTTTAAATTATTCGTAAACTTTTTCCCTGGATAAACTTGAATAACAAATTTCAATTATGTTTAGACTTAGTGCACGACATCTACTCAAAGATTCGACTGAAATCATGTCATAATACTCGGAATAGTATAATTCCTTGTATAGACGGATGATGAATTTTATTTTAAATTATTTAAATTATAAATTAAACATTTTTAATTATTGAAAAATAGTTTGTGTGGATTACAAACATAGTTAACATTAATATGATTTAAATCTCTAAATGGGTTTTCAAAATCATATAAATATCATAAAATATGCAGAAATATGCAATACATACATTTTTGTCTTTATATTGTATGTATCAAGAAACGTATTTTCAATTTGCTTCGAATCAAATTTTGAATATACAAATACATAAAGTTTCAATCCCCCATTATTATTATTATTATTATATATTTATATGAGTAGTAACTAGATAAAAGTATAATCCACCGCGCTTACAGAAAAGTGATAGTTTTGAGCAGAGTTTGTCCGTCCGACAGACATCCGGTCTTAATGATACAAATGATACAATATCATTATATTATTATACATGCGTGTTATTATGAATGGTATGTGTATAGGACAATGGTTGGTATTGGAAAAAATKTCGGACAACATCCAACCGCAGGATGCGCGTCCGCTGAAGGCTAAGTGCACGAGACGCCGATGCAGCGAGTCGGACGTGTACTGGCCACAGGACGGGTTTTGCCACGACGAGGAAGCAGCTCGGCGTAATCGGCTGTGCGCCAGCTCAGACACCGTGTTGGCCACCGATGAGTATGGCGATGGATACTGCAAGTGTCAAGACGGTGGTAAAGTCCCTTACGTGCAAGTCATCTCGGCTGCAGACCACGGCATTGACCAACACTCACAATCGTGCTATCCTGTGTACTCTAAGGGTCCGTGTCCCAGGAATCACGTGATAATTCCCTACGGCACCAGGTCAGTGCAATAGTCAATGACTATAATTATTATTGTATATAGCACCAATTTCGTTTTTTGTTTTTAAAAATATTTTCTTCCTGCTATCGTTCCACCATTACTATTTTGTCATACTCGCATACTATCGTAGATAATAATTTGCAAAGGCATACGAGAATATCGTATATTACTATGCTCAAAACTACTGTAAGATCTAAGAGACAGCATAGCAGTCGGTAAGTGGTAAATCTTTAGCCGACTAGGAAATGAGCCTTCCCAGACATTTTTCTAGAAGGGTCAAAATTAATTTAAACAATAAATAAAGATTTTTCTATACATTTCATTCTTAGGTACTATGTTTATATAATATCTTAAAAGTAATCCATGTTTACTAAATGAGCGCATTACAGATTTTCCTTTTGAAAATATTTAA